GTTGCTTCTTGAAAAACCCAAACCCCCAAACCAACAGCTGTATCTCTATTCCTAGTATAATGACTGCATGAGCAGTCTGTTGCCGTACAACCTAAAACTCTTCTGCTTTCTCTTCATGTCATCATTGGGGTTTCTGTATGGTTTTGTTATGGGAAGAACAATAATTGGTATCTGGTAAATGTATATAAAAAGATTAACTATGGTCTGTGTGAAACAGTTTCTTGCATTGGATTCAAAGCAGCAATTTAGCAAAAAGTTCTACAGATTTATTTTGCTGACCCATACATAACTCAGTAAGAAGTAAATGGGCATATTTTCTTGCCTGGGATTTCTCTTTTTATATCATACAACTGTTCTATTCATGGGTTATTTTCAGTAGTTCTATTCTAAATAACACTCTTAGAATGCCATTTGGGTTTAATATGTGGTGCCTTTTAAATTTTATTATTCAGTTTGGCTTTTCTGATACATAATTCCCATGCTAAATACCAAGTAGTGGATTTAAGTTAGTTACCTGCACTACCTTTAGTATACTTGTATTATTTAAGGCCTGGCTCATATGGTTACTGGCATTTTGACATAGTAGTATTTACTATGTAGTATTTTAAAATATCAAATATTTTCCTCTGATCTTCATGAAAAAATTAAACCTAGTTTGAGATCAGTTGTTACTAGTCATCTCCAGTTGTTTTGAGGCTTGCTGGTTATCAGCAATTTCATATATTATTGTGAAGTTTCATTGTAATCTACTGCAGATGATTACAAATCATGACTTCCCCCTCCTCCCAAATTACTCAAAAATTGTTGGACTTTTTTTTTTGTTTGAAAGCTATTTTTTTCTCTTTGCAGTAAATGAACGAGGCTTGAGGAATGTCTCTACAAATGCTGCTTAATGGGTAAATTGATTTTTTTTCTTCTCTTTCCAGGTCTTAACTTTTCTTAAAATTCTTTTTTGCACAAGTCAGTCGACTGACAGCTCTAGAAAAGGTAATTCAGAAAGCAAAGGATTTATGTTTTAGGTGTTAAAGTGAGGCTTTAGCCTTTCTTGATTCCTGTTCTATATACTGCTGATTATTGTGGCAAAAGGAGATTAATTTGTCCATCTCTGAATTTCCATTGTGCACATTTTTAAAAAGCAAATTGTTGAGCTCTATTAAAATTGAGTAGCCTCATGTTACGAGCATGTTCTGCTCATTTGATTGTATTGAAAATGGAAGAGTTATTTTTTGCAGTGGCATACAAGTATGCATATCAGGCCAGAACTGGCTTGCACTTGTTGTGTTACCATATTTAATTGTGTTCCTTAAATGATCTAAGCTATTTTCATCCTTCTTTCTGGTGAAACTTGCCTAAAGTGAAGACATATAAGTGTAAGGAATGTTTTAGAATAATCTAGAAATTCTTGAACTTATTGTGGTGTATATATTATGAAGGATGACTGACAATATAGAGGCTGCTGAGAAATCACTATACAGAGTTAAATATAAATCCTCCTGATAAATTGTATCTCTTGGCATTTTTTGGTAACAGGAAGTGTTAACCACACATTCCACACCTTGAAATATTACTGTTATCCACTTGCTTCTGGTATGTCTGATGTAGAGAGGGAGCTGTGTTTTAGTTCCATCAGTTAAGTAATTGAGGCTTTGTTTTAGCCTCTTTAATTTTGCAAATTAACTTTCAGAAATAAGAATAGGCCACCTCTGCTAGGAGTTCCTTATGGTGATGGGTTCTGGACTCGTAACTGAGGAGAAGTGTTTAGCAATCATTTTTGTCTTTTTCAAACTCTGTCTGAACAAAGTTTTATAAACAAAAAACTAATCTGAACAGGTAACAAGCAACATGACATCAAGTTTTCTTTACTGTCATTCTTGTGTTTAGTCATTACCTATTTGCTTGGATAAATGACATACCTCTGCTAACACTGAAATACAACTTGTATAGTTCAGGTGTTCGACTTAATCCTTGAGCAACTTCTAATTCGGAGTAGAGTTATCTGCATATTTTTGTCCTATAGTGTGTCAGTTAAGCCTGGTACCTATCTCTTGTTGGCATGCATTGTGTGTAGTAAATGGTTGAAATGTAATAAAACTAAGCAATGGTCAAATAAATGATAGAAACTTAATTTTAATGGGAGCACTAATATTTTGACTATTCAATGAAATCCACTGTTCACTTTGTGTGTAAGCTGTGTGTATGTATATGCTTAACCTATGGGAGATTTAGTTGAGTTTCAAATGATTTGGCATAGAGTTGAGAATGAAATTGTTTTCATTACACTCAGTAACATTCAGAGATACGTTTGAATATGTGCCTTCTTTTGGCAGGAGTTGATATGCATTTGAGAAGTTATCTGTGTTTAGACTATGCTTCTTAACCTTCTTTGATCTGAAAAGTTTCATTGTAAAATTGGATCTCCAGCTCTTTGTGGTTCCATGCTTACTTGCCTTGATGACTAATACAAGTGCTACTTCTGTTTACATTGAAGAATCACCAGTACTCTGTAACAAAATTTTTTTCCCTTTTGAGGAAGAGCATATTATTTAAATTCTACTTGCCTTGCCAATTTATGCCTGGGCAAACACAGTTCAGTAGGATGAGTTTAGCAGAGGCTTCACAAAGGTTTTGGCATGAAGGTCTTCAGGGTCATAACTCCCCACTCTGTTTTGCATGTTTTTTAATTTCATCATATATAAGATGCAGCTCTTTGGTGGTTTTTTTTTTTTTTTTTTTTAAATTGGAACTCATTTTATGCAGAAGTGGGTAGTGACATGTAGCATTTTCTAAAGTAGCTTTGAAAATGAAAACATAGTTCTTTAACGGTGCAGTGGAACAGTAGCTCAAAGATGTCAGTCGTTAAACTGTTTTGGCTTTTTTTGAATTTACTAGGATGAATTACATGCTCAATTATGGTAAACTAATATTCCTTTAAACATTTAATTAAAGTGATTTGTGTTATTGCAGACTTTATCAGCTTCAAGCCAGTGAGTCTTGAGTGCATGATCTAATTCACAGCTCTGGACATTTAAAACCAGTGGCAGATCTGTATATCTTATGGTTAGACAGAAGTGAGGAAGGCAAATGCACTGGTAATGTGTTTTATGCTTCAGTGAGATGATATTCACCCTATTAATTATCAATATTTATTCTGAGACTACAGTGTGGGGTGGGTTTATTGTTTTTGGTTATTTTTAGACATAAATGCAGTATTATTCTTCCAGGGAACAAAATATCCTTTGTACCTTAAGGTTTGTTTAGTTTTTTTTAAGCCTTGCTTGTAGCTACACTAATTAGGGCAACTAAACTATTTTTTTGATACATGTATCACTGGGGATGGAGGTAGCAGAAGTTTTTTTTAGTTTTTCATCTTTCTGTTAGAGGATTATACATATTTTTCGTTTAGTAGAGAGAGATACCAATTTTAATCAGGGAAAACATACTAAGCTACCTGTTTGTAGTTTTTCCATATGCGTTACTATATTGTAAAACACTCTTAAAAGCCTAATTGTCTGTGGTTTCCATGGCATTTTAGTCTGTCACAGATAAAATGTGAGTGCATCAGAATTGCAGATTCTCTTCTCCAATAGCTGTTTCTGGTTTTGAATGAGCTTAGTTTTTATCTTAAGACTTCAAATTTGTGTATTTGACAATTAAAATTAATCTAATATTTATACTAGTAATAATTAGAGAATTAATAACTAAAATAATGTTATGCATTACTTCACAGAAATCTGATGTTTTATGGCAGCTGCTGACTAAGCTTTTTGTTTCTAAATGCAATTTGTTTATGGAACACATTTAATGACTGTACAAATTTGTGTTCATGTTGTACTGTTGCTCTCAAAATTTTAATACATCATCCTCTAGTTAGGTGCAATTTCATCTGGAAAGATACTTTCAACATAGAGTAGTACAAAAGGTTGCAAATCTCTGCTTGCAAGGCCACCAGATCTGCACTGCAATTAATATTCTTGTCAAACTCACCGAGTGAATATAAAACTGCTGAATGAGGCACTTACACATATTTTTATCTCTTTCTTCGGCTACTGACTTGGGTAATGAAGTGGAGATGTGGCTGTTATGTGCCAGTTGGAAGGGAGCCAAAACAGAGATTGTTGTTTGTACATGTACAGATGTTGGCAGGATTCTGTGTGCTCCTGTTGTCAAAAGATCTTTTTATTGCCAGAGAATTATAAATATATCTGTGTTACAGTATGGCATGCAGATATTTTACTAGTAGTCTTTGGGATGTTTACTTCTTAATAAACCAGACTGCTTCTCAAATTTCCTGTGTGAAATGAAATTCAGTCTGCACAATGCAGGAAGCATCATTAGATGTGTTTTGAATACCAGTGTACCATTGTGACTACCACTGTACTTTCAAGATCAGTATAATCCATTACACAAATCCCTGCTGCTGCTGGAAAGGAAAAGTCCTCTTAGCTTCTTTCTTCTCTTCTCACCTGGTTGTTCAGGCCTTCTCCCTTCCTTTGTCAGTACTGGTATGTTGTGGCAATGTGATGAGCTGGATCCAGCTGAACACCAGCCCAGCAAATACCAGCTGCAGTGCTTTCCTAATGACATGAAGGGGGGGATTGAAATGAGTGTGCTTGATGAGTTATATCTCCTAAAGTTGTCTTCTACACCTGCCATCTTAGAGGTTAGCTTAATTAAAAATATCAGGTGCAAAATTGTCTTGGTGGGAAGTATACTTGCGTTAGTATAACAGATGAGTATAAAATGCCAATAGAAAAAGATGTTGGGATTGTGCATGTGTATGTGAATATATGTAGATATATAGTATATGAGAAGCTGGATATGGGTTGTATATTATTTCAGGTCCTCCAGCTTCTTTCCTTTAGTAGTCCAGCAGAGCCTCTTGCTCATGTAAATGTATTTTGTGTTGTTTTTTCTGTCTCTTCTAAATTTTCTTGAACAGACTTTTTAAATCTAAGCTGTTTTGTATTAATGAAGATGTTAAAAAATCTTTTTATATACAGAGTTTTCCATCTGATGAGGGTTGGCCATTTGCAAAGTACTTAGGAGCATGTGGAAGAATGGTGGCTGTCAATTACGTTGGAGAAGAGCTGTGGAGTTACTTTAATGCACCATGGGAGAAACGAGTGGACCTGGCCTGGCAATTGATGGAAATAGCTGAGCAGCTGACAAATAATGACTTTGAATTTGCACTCTACCTCCTTGATGTCAGTTTTGACAACTTTGCAGTTGGACCAAGAGATGGGAAAGTTATCATTGTAGATGCAGAAAATGTTCTGGTAGCAGACAAAAGGTTAATCAGACAGAGTAAGTGTCTTCTTTCTCTCCCCTCCCCTCACCCCCGTCTCTTCTTTCTCTGCAAGCACATGTTTAAAGTACCTGTAGTTGCTAAATACCAACTTTGTTGGCTTTATAAGGAGACTACCAGTTAACAAACTAATTAGCTTTCTTCTGCAATTAGGCCACTAATTAACTGACCAATTTGTCAACTTTACGACGTGTTGCTTTTACCTGAATTTGATTTACATGCACTTCTAATCTCTGTAATCCTGTTTTAATGGAGAGGTCGGGGTGGGGGGAGAGGGTTAGTGGTGAAGGGGTTTGTACAGGCGGGTGGACAGATACAGACAGGTGGGCTGTCTGACTGACTTGTCTCCTTAGCTAAGAGAGAGAGTTTCCTTTCCTGTTGTCCAGACTTCTGTAAAGACAGAAGTCTTGTAATTCTATTTTCTGTGAATGACAAGACAGTCTTACTGTCTGCTTTGTGTTAGTTACATAGCTGGCTTCTGGTTCAGTTATTCAGGTTGGTGCTCTGTGTAATAATGGAACAGAAGGAATAGTTAATTTTAATGTTGTTCCCAAGTGGGAATAATGAAAATTTGTTCATCTTTCTGTTAACTGTAAATGCTAAAAGCAGTGGCAGCAGGAGAGATGCTTGACCAAGTGACATCACATGGGTTTATATTCTGTTTGAGTTTGTAATGAAAACTTTACAAACTTAGGGGCTAGAGACAGTAAACATGAAACTCTAGATCCTGCAGAACTTCATGGCAACAGGCCAAGGGATTCCAGTTTGCTTTGGGTGAATGGATTGTTTTAAGCTTTACAGATAGATTTCATATGCTATTCTGCTGAATTAACTTTAAGAGCATATTTTTTATCCACACAGTGTTCAGGAAGTACGTATTTTTTTATTTTTTTTTTTCCCCAGTGGTGTGGGGTTTTTGCTGTGGTCTGGGTGGTTTTTTTGTCATCTTGTGTTTTTTTTTTTTTTTTTTTTTTTTGGTATTAGATTTAGTATATGTTCTCAAGGAGCTCAGATTGAATTATTGGAGCCTACAAAGAAATCCTTTTCATTTATTGGATATCAGTACATTTTTAGTACTTCTGGGCCATACAAGTGTTCCTTTTTTTTTTTTTAATTTCTCCACCCTCTTAAAATAATATTATTTAAGACTTTTGGAGCATGTCTGAATTGCTCAGTCATGAAAATGGTCAAATGAGCTCCAACAAGGATCATGTATAGGTGGAATAGGAGCAAGTAGCTTCTTGCAGAAGCTGAATGCTGAAAGTGTCGCACTTAGGTGTGTTGTCTCTAGTTCTCAGGCTAAATTGGATCTAACTAGGGTTTTGCTACATGATTTGTAATCTAACAGTCAAGAACACAAAAAAAAAACAAAGAGGACATAAAAAAGTTCCCAGTCTTTGTATAAACTTGACATTTAATACTGCTTTCATTAATCTTCTGGAAAGTTCCATTAACCAATCTCTGTCTACAGTGTTTAATATGCCTGCTTAGATATTTGAATATGCACATTCTGTTCAGTTGCACTGTACAGTAACATTTAATTGTGCTCTGTATGGGGCATCATGTTTGGTTTTGCTGAAGCCCTTTTTTTCTCATTCTCCTTTGTTGCTGGCTTGTTTCCATTTTGACTGTGCTGTTCATTGTTCAAGTTCTACATCACATTTTTATAATTCTAGCTGTCATCTTTAGTATCCATTTTTCTTTTTTTAGACTGCCTTTCAGTGCACCATAAATTTGTAGGCCAATAGTCAGCTCAGACTAAACTTTTCTCTGTACATCACAGTTCTAGAAGAGATCTGCAAAATGGTGAGACTCCATGATAAGGACCTCTTCTCGAAGTTTGTAGTAGCGTAAAAAATTCAGATGAAAGTTTTCTAACAAAGTAGTAAGAACTCAGGAGACACCACATTTAGTAGCTTCCTGCATATTATTGTATAAGCTACTTTTTGTAAATCAGGTTTTAAGTTAAAGAAGGCTTTGACAAAGCCACTAGTTACACCTTCTAATTTGGTAATTTTTTTAGATATATAAAGACAGGTTTATACATGTACGTAAATGCCATTTTTTTTTTTTTTCTATCTTCAGATTATATGTAATGCATCTGCTTTTTTATACACACTTCATAGTTACTACCATGTCTAAAGTAGGAGATTGGAAAATAACATTTCAGAAGTTTATGGTAATTACCTTGCAGTGTTTATTTTTTTTTTTGCTAGGCCACTAGTGTTAGTTCCCAGGGCGATTAGAGAACCCAGATCTATGTTACTAAAATAAGTCATGTTGCTTTTTTTCTGTTTCTCTTGACTTCAGCTGTGGATCATTCTCTTGTACTCTTTTGTCCTTCATTATTTCCTCTGTGTGTGTGAACGTACGTTTCATGTGTGCTGTATTTTCTGCTTCCGTCTCTTGCTTTTTATTTTACCCTTTTTCTTTCCCTTTATTTTTTGTGTTGCCAGGATGCAGCAGAAAATGGTGTCAAACTGTCAGATGCAAGCTTAGACTAGAGTATGTGAGAGTTCATCTAAACAATGTTTACAGAAGTATTACCAGTTTGCTGTGTATTGACTTTCTGCTTGTATTCAGACACAGATATGCTCTTTCCTACTCTCTCACTTTTTTTTTTTTTTACTGTTTCCTTCTATTTCACAGATAAACCTGAAAACTGGGATGTATGGTATGAAAGCAAATTTGATGACTGTGATAAGGAAGCTTGTCTGTCCTTCTCGAAAGAGATTCTTTGTGCTCGTGTCACTGTGGACCACAATTATTATGCTATTTGTCAGAACCTTTTATCAAGACACGCCACGTGGCGTGGCACTTCTGGAGGACTACTTCACGACCCCCCAGCTGACATTGCCAAAGACGGCCGCCTGGAGGCCTTGCTGGACGAGTGTGCCAACCCAAAGAAGCGATACGGGAGATTCCAAGCGGCGAAGGAGCTGCGGGAGTACCTTGCACAGCTGAGTAACAACGTGAGGTAGTCCACCGGGACAATTTTTTGCAACACTGGCTGAAACACTATTGCAAAGACACATAGAAGGTGAAATTTTGAACTTAGGTATTGAAAAGAGAAAACGAAAAAAGAAATGAGTTTATCAGTTTTCTAAATACCATAAAAATATAACTTTATGGTGTTACAAAGTTCCTTTGCAAACAGACAAGGTACTTACTGAATTAAAACTTGAGCTACTATTGACTTTCTTCCCTATCTATTTAAAAGGGAGTAGGTCAAAAAAGACTGTGACAGCTTAATTGACAGCTTGTGTGTCAAAGGGTACTTTACATAAAACTGCATTAGTGTCACGGTTTTGTGAAGCTGATGTTCTTACTTGGAAAGTCAAGTTAGCCTGGCCTGTTTTAAAGGCCTTTTTCCTGACATCATTGTCTCATTTTTGTGTTTGTTTAAACACCTTGAAGTGGCATTTAAATCCAGGTAAATCTAGGTGTCTGCATTGTTTCAAATTTAACAGGCTTTCATGTTGATGCTGTGCAGTACATTCCTACTGTGAGTGCAGGATTCCCACGTTTACTGTCTAATTTTTGGGGGGTTTACACTGTATTTTACTATGCATAGACATCATGTATATTTTAAGAACATCATAAATTCAAATGTCATTTGAACTAACATTCATTTGATGTCTTTTATGGTTTTGCCATTGGAAATATTACTTAATGTAATTATTGTACAAAACATTTACCCTTCATGCCAGTATATACAAATGACTGTTTAGCAGGAAATCGTAGTGTGACAAAACTCAGATAAAAGATAATTTGAGAATTGGAGAGTACAGTAAAAGGATCTGTATTAATTTAAATTGGGGATAGACGCTTGACTAATAGTAAAAATTCAGTAGTCCTGTGTAGTTAAGCATAAACCAAAGAAAATGGTTTTGTTTATTAGTTTCTAAACAAATAGTAAGGAAAAAATGCTATATTGTACTGAAGCTAATCATTCTTAGAATCCAAATCTCAGTGGTCCTTGGTTACTGTTTGAAGTTCTAAAAAACTGTGCTTATGCTAGAAGAAAACCGTCATTTGAATAATGATGTCTAGAAAGTTAGAAGTTTGGCTTGCATCATCCCCAATTCTATTGCATTCAAGTGTAATGGAGTTTAACAAATATTCATCTTTTGGTTTGCCAGCTAAATTGATTAAGCAGTGTTCACTCTAGGCACCTTTTCTTGAACTGACTATTCCCAGTGCAGGTGAAATTTACTTGTTGAGGTTTGTGTAAACCTGGGAGCTGTTCTCATAAATTACAGTTTTTATAAAACCTCAGTTCCTGCTACAAGAACTTACTTCAGAGCTTGCTTGTATTTTCTTTTTTTTTTTAATCACTAGTATAATGCTTAATTTTTCCTGAAGTCTTATTCCTAAAAAGATACTCTTAGGAAATGTATGCATATTACTTCTTGTAACAGTAATGAAGGAAACTCGTATTTCTTAAATGCGTGTATAAAATAATATTTTATACAAGATAAAAAGAATTCTGAGCAAGGTAGCACATGCTACTTTGAGGAGCAATGTTAGTATGCTTTTCATGCTGCATCGAAAGACTGGTGGAAACTCTTGCTTTACCAAATTGCTGCAAGTGCAGGTGAGGAAAATGCCAAACTCACTGGCTGGCCCTTCTTCCCCAAGGCTCAAAAAGCGGAGCCATATAAAGTTGCAGAGTGCTTTTTGATTTCTTAGGGGACTATATTAAGGATATTTAAGAACTCTAAATTCTCACTTGAAGTCATCTTTTCCTATGTAGACTGAATTTGCTCCCAATCCCTTGTCTTGTTTTCTAAAGTTAGAATGCCCAGTGCAGCTTTTAATTTTTTCCCTCACCTCATTTGAAATAGTTTTACATGCTTGATGTGGCACAAGCTGTCAGAGAAGGTTAATATTATTTTTCATTACAAAATCCACTTATTTGAAGAAAATAGATTAACCCTCAAAATACTAGCCTGCCATAAAAACCTTGACTTATCACTAAAGTTGATTTTTAAACATCTACCATCTTTACCAATGAGCGAGTGGAGTATGCTTGTCAAAATTACAAAAGAAATAAACACTGCCAGTTCTAGTTACTACTCAAGGCAGTTCTGTACCTGTCAGAATGTCCTGTCACATTTGGTTTGGGGTTTAGTTCCCTCAGAAATTTACTAAAGCCAATTATAAGAGGAATTTGGAACCTTAAAACAAACAAATGAAAAAAAAAAAAACAACAAAAACACTACAGGGATAACATTGTGGAGAGCAATAAATCTTGGATCTGTTTGCACCTATCAAATATTTATTGTACAATAACAATTTATATTTTTAGTCATTGCCCATTATTGATGAACACTGAAATATTTTTGAATGAGATGTTTGGGGTTTGTATGTGCATTACAATTGTCCTTTTGTACTGTAACTTACTGTTTGATTGGAATATTTTAACAAAACTGTCTCCCTGTGCCTTTATATTACAAGTTGTTTCTGCAACTTCTAATTATATTAATAAAGAATACTTCAAGAACCTCATCTCAGATATTCATTTTCAGATCAGTAAGTCTTTTAAGATTGACTTAGTCTAGGATGCATTAAACTAGACATGAATAGTTCTTGTAGTGTTGCAGAATGCACTGTTTTCAAGAGTGACATTTTTATCCCTCTTTCTAGTAGCCTGTTAGATCCAAAGTCTGAGTTATCTGTGAGGAATCTTTGTTTTGGAGGTTATCATGAGTAGAACTCATTTTCTTAAAAACAACTTGATCAAGCCATATCTTTCTGTTCTATTTAACTGAAAAAAAAAAAAAATTCTAATTAAATAAGTTCATACCTTCTCTGTTGTTTGACAAACTTATTTCTCCTTGTGTTTTGAGTTATTAATATTGCTACTACCACTATGTCTTCAGCACAGTATTCTAGCAGTTAATGTAGTATAAATACATAATGGCTTTCAGTGCTTCTCCTTCATTCTGGATTTCTGAGTGTTCTATTTGAAACTGAGTCCCGCAGTTATAGTAGAGCATATTCCATTTAGGCTTTCTGAACCTGTCTAAATAATAGGAACAAGTTGTCTCAAAAACACTTGGGTTGTTCTTGTTGTTGCACTCCTGCTGCCTCCAGGAGCTCTAAACATGCAGATTGAAACTTGTAAACTTTCCCTTGTGCCTCAGATGTCAAGATCATTATGATCCGAAGAAGAAACTAGGAAACTACTATGAATAACTGCTGCATCTTTTCTTTCAACAGTTTCCAGAGTATAGCATAGTCTGATCCTGGTTGCCTTGAACTTTAAGACATGGCATTATCTTTCCAGCTATCTTTTCCAGGTACTTTCTTACCAGGTACTTTTTTTTATTGTAGAGATAGTATCTTATGAAACACTTCAAAGATGCTAAACTTCATATGCTACTCTGATTTACCACAAAGACTAGGTTAAATGCTGTTTTCTTTTCATTTATTAGAGTGGAGACCTTGGCTACCTTTAAAAGGTACTAAAATATTTTAGTTTTTTACACCAAGCCTACTATTTTTGTAGAAACCAGCAACAGTGCTTTCATGGATTTTTTTTCCCTATGACATATCTAGATTCAGTACTAACTCCTAATATCTTCAGTTATCTGTGTTGGTTGAAACCTGTGATTTGGAGACTAGGATGGACTGGACTGTGAAACCTCTGTAAAATGCATGTGTCTAGTGAGTACTGGAGAAGTGTTCTGTTAGGGAACTATTTTCTCCATTTGAAGACTTGGTATACAGCCTGCTTAAGATGCTTTTGAGGTTCCTCATGGTTTCTTTCTGTCTCACAGTGTTCATAAGCCTTTGAAAATCCAGTCCATCAAATGGAAACTTCATTAGTGTTGATTTCACCTACTTTTGTTGAAGTTGCAATATATAGGCCTGCTAATGTATCTAACAGCTGCCCTGTGACTAGTTCACTGTACTAGCATCACTGATATTTCTATTTTAAATGTCTGCCTTTTTTTTCTGCTTTCTTATTTTGAGAACATGTTCAAAGATGGACAACTAGTTTAAATAAACCTTTATTATTTACTTTCATTTTAGGGTGTTTAAAAGAAATTTTTCCTGTGCTGATATGTCACTTTTAAAATGTGACTCTCTAGATCTGACAAGTGTCAGTCTGCCTGGGGTGCTTCTAAGCATCAAACTTTTTCCTGTATTTCATAATGAATGTTATGAACACTATTCATCCAGGCAAAAGTCTTTGGTAGTCTGACACGTGCTGTACACTGCACCAGTGAGTGTTTGCCAGGTGCAGAAAGGCCCTGTTGCTGCTACATGTCCTGTAGAGCGTGTGTGTGATCTTAATGGCAATGAAGAGTTTGTTGCTTTGACAGCAGATGAGTCTCTTGTTGCAACAGTGGCAGTATGAGAATGTACCTGTTGTGTGGTTCACAAAACTAGACAAATTTCAGGAACATTAGTAATGAACATCTGCCACAAATACTGACTTGCATGTGTAGGTCAGAACAAGAAAGTACTGACTTTGGAAGAAAAATTACCTAAGGCTGTTTTTTATATTTGGTGGGCTAACTCCAGTCTTCTGAGAACAGAAGTGTGAAAGCAGAATACACTTCAAAGTGAAATAGACTGCTTAATCTACATCTCGTGTTCAGATAGAAAGAGGAACGTTGCGGGGGGGGAGGGTGTCAGGGTTTCAAATAGCTTGTGTATTAGTCAAACATTTTTACTACACATCTTCCTATTCTGAACATGATGCTTTGGGTTTAGCTTTTACTGCAGTTTCTAAGTTTTGATATTATGAGCATTTATTAAAGGTGCTCTTGGTATAAGTTCAGATTCCCAAGTAGGTGTCCTGCATCTTTTTAAAGGAATGGGATTTTTAAAATGTAGTGCACTATTAATTTGAATTTTTTTTTTTCGCTCCAACAGTAGTTCTGAAACGCCCCAAAACAGTTGAGCAGCTGATTACATTGCTGCCAACCACTGATGCAGTTTACTTTTGAGTTAAAAGTTCTTATCTTTGGTTGTTCAGACT